TCACATGGAAATCCTTGTAGTAAGATTAATTAAAGTGTATATAACTTTAAATTCTTGCCCAAATATATTGTTATATTTTTTTACATACTCGCTTCTTTACTTCATTTGTTCTAGTTTCCACTTCTTGCCCCTTCACTTAGCAATAGCTTTTACCTTCCAATCTAAGGCACCACTACATTACAAGTCAGGCTTTTTTAGTTTTATCTAAGAACAATAGAAGTTGAGATTTGATTGCCAGATCAAACCTTATATTTATTTAATTATCATATACGCTTATATCATCAATTTTTTATTAACTACAAATTAGTATTACTAATAGACTATTAAACAATAATAGACTTTTATATAGCCTCATTGACTAATAACCTTATTATTAATCATTATATCGATCATCTTTATTATCGTTGGCATTCCTATGAAACCTAAAATTACATACATCCAATTAAATACACGTCACAAGCTAGATCCCTGGGAATTTGTCCTGAAATCTGACCCATGAAATCCAACTTTTAGCATTTCTAATTAGTTACTACCAAATATCAAATACTAAAATAGTCTATAATAAAGCATTTCTTACATACACTAAATTACTATAAACATATTTATATTTTTTTTCTTTTTTTTTTATTTATTTTTGTAAAAGATCTGATAAGTTATTCTCTGAAGAAACATATTCCTCATTGGTTAATTGTTTATCATCCACCTAACTCACTCGATTCTCACCTATTTCTTCTTTGCACCCTGGTTCATAGTTATTCAATTTCAATTTCTTGACTCGATTTCTTGTAATCAGATCTCTCAACTTTGATTTATTGACTTCTTTTAGATAAAATTGACCAAACTTTCCAACTTTCATTACTCTATAGGGGCCAACTCATCGATAGTGCAATTTTCTAGAACACGTCTCCAAGATCAAATCATAGACCAATACCAGATCACCAACATCAATCAGTTTTCTTTACTGGGCCCAATGATTATGAAACTTTTTTTACTGCTATTTTAATTCGTCACAATTTATTTGTATATTTTTCAGATCCCCAACTAGACCTTTTATTTGCAGGGTTCAGTATTTGAGTAGCTGATCAATCATCTATTGGCTTCTTGACACGTACATATACATAGTAACTTTCTATCACTAATTCGATAGGTATTATTGTGTCCTTTCCATAAGCCAAATGAAATGAAGAGTAACCCAAGTTACTAATGGTTGTATTCATAGACCAAATCGCACTACATACATACTTATACTACTGATTTTGTTGTTCAGCACACAATTTTCAAATTATTCTAGTAAACTTTTGGACTACACATTTGGTACAACAATTCGTCTCAGAATAGTAACTAGCAACAAAATATTGATCTATATTCAATCATGATGACAGTTCTTCCATTTTGTATTTTTGAACTTAGTTCTTCTATCCGATACTAGAGTGGTGAAGCAGCCATATCACAAAATTGGCTCAAATATAGTATAGCTTACTCCTACCCTAAAATTTAGAGTATATATCCTAAAAATTGGGGTATATACTCTAAAAAATAGGATGCATACCCTATAAGACCCCATCTAGCCTAAATTATACAAAAAGTACCCTAAACTCTAAAAATAGAGGTTATATGACATAAAATATACTCTAAAATAGATATATACTTTAAAAAATAGGGCATATACTCCAAAAAATAGGGTATATACTCTAAAAAATAGGGTATATATCCTAAAAATTGTATAAAAAAAGGGTATATAATAGTATTATATATATACGCACATAGGTTCTCCTGTGATAATTCTGGCCAAAAATTGGTATAATTTCAGCCAAAATTTGGTATAATGCTGGTAAAAAGTGGTAACCTATACTATATTTTAGCCGCAAAATTATCTTTTTCTAAATAAATTAGGCTATATTTTTAGCGGTCTTTTTTACTAATATCTTTCTTTTCACATAACCTGTTAGGTCTTCAATCACCAATACAACATGTTCATATTTTCTATAGTTCAGAGCAAAGATCCTACACAGTTTATAAAAACCTTATAAAATCCAGCTTGTCGCAGTTATATGTAACGGTTCTGGTAAGAGTTTCAGAGTATGCTTTTAACATTGTTCACAACTTGACACAATCTTTTAACATCATTATACATATTACTTGATCTCCACAAATACCTCATTTTAACTAATGTTAAAGTTCTATTAATCTTTCGATATCCACTTTCATTAGCCAAACCTTCGTGACAGACCTTTACTATTTCATATTTGTCTTGATTTTCTATAATTACTTGTTTGGGTAGGACCCCTTTTTTTGACTGTAGGTATAGGTTGTCTTCAATTATGCAATATCATTTTATTTTCCTTTTTAGACAGAGTAGATCACATGTTTTCACATGAGGTTCTTAGTTCAAATTCTGTAAATAATGTTTTATCAAAAACAAATGATAGATGTTTTGATCTTCAAAGCCCACTTTATACAGGAGTTCTTCAACAAAGCCCTCATTGGTCTTTTTATCTTGACTAGAAGAGTTAGAATAGCATGATATTCTATCAGCATTACTATATTTTTTGTCTGATTTATACTAAACTCAAAATCAGGAACTTCTTATTCTGGTTTCGTATTGCACTTCAAACATTTGCAGCAGCAGGACCTACCTCATCAACCTTCTCTTTAATTCTATCTTGTTGAACAACTATTCAAGTGCCTGATGATCTACCTATATGTCAAATACAGTGCCACCTATATAACGTTCATTTATATAACATCCAAACACAATCGCTAAGCACTTCTTTTCAATAACAGTATAGTGTAACTCATATTTATTGAATCGAATAACATGAGTCTCAACTGACCATCATCATTCTCTTGTTCAAGAACAACACCAACAGAAAATTCACAAGCATCAGTATACATTTGATATAGCTTCTGACCTTCTTTGGCTGCTTGCCAATTAGGCACTTTCAGTATGATTTCTTTACTTAATCTTTCTTTTAATAACTCAAATACTTCATTCTCTTTAGACTTTAGTAAAACTTGGTAGCTTGCTTGATCAGATCATCAATGGCTTAGCTATTTTACTAAATTTTTTAACGAATCGTTGATAATAGTTCAATGTACTATAGAATAATCTTACTTTATTAATATTATAGAGTACTGTCCAACTTCGAATCTTTTCTACTTTTTTGGGATTTACCTTAGTTCTCTCTTTACTTACTACATACCTATACATTTCAAGTTCATTATATAGAATAAAGCACTTTTTCGCTACAAAAGTTAATCCTGCTCTTTTAAAAACTTCAGCCAATTGTATGAATATTTCCAGATACTCTTCTATAGTTCCATTGATCCAAATTCCAATATCATCTTGATATGCAGTAGCTATATTTCTCTATCATTTATTGTCCAACAATCAATCTATTAACCTTTGAAAGGTTTCACTTGCATTTTTCAAGCCTATACACATAACTGTATATTGTAAGACTTCAAGAAAATAGCTACAGCCACCTTATCACAGTCCTTTTCCTTGATACTTATTTGCCAATATTCTTTAAATATATCAACTGACAAATACCAATTGTAGCTAGCTGCTTGCTTTAGAATGTCTCGAATGATCAGCAAAGGATAACTTTCTTTGATTATATACTTGTTGAAGGGCTTCATATTGCTAATAGCCCTAATTTTATCAGTTTCCTATCCTTCTTTTGTACTGGAAAACAATGATAAGCATATTTATTGGATCCTTTTTTTAGGAGATCACACTTGACCATTTCTCTTAAATGATCTTTGAATAAAAGTCTTATTTTAGGATTATTTATCTTAATTGGCCTCAATTTCATAGCTGATACAATGATATCGCCAGTTCTGACCTTGTATTTCACCAGGTTTATTTTGCTAATGTCTTTCAGATTATATATGAATATGTCTCCTATTTTATTCATCAATCGATTAATAATAATACTCCTAATTGGTTCACTTTGAACCTTAGATCTCAGATTGATTAGAGCACTATTTTCTATCATTAATCTTAACACTATAAGAACATTCTAACCTTCAATAGTTCTATTATCTTTTTTGTCGTTGGCATCCCAATATTTTACTCTATCACAAAAGGTGAATCTGTCTAAACTCTAAGATTTGACAGGTTTAATTTTTAATATCACTAAACTGTCCTTATTTTTTAATTGTCCAAAATATCTAATGGCTAATGATTTTTGTTTTCCTCATATAGATCTTCTACTACTATACTTCTTACTGCTATTATATTATCCACATCATCATCATAGTCACTTTCATTACCACTACCCATATCATCTTCATAATTATTAGCTTGGATTTCTCTCACCCAACTTCTAGAAATGGTTAATGCTACAAAAGATGTTGATCATATGAGAGAAAAGATGGTAAGCAATACTCTGTACCTTTAAAATCTAGGCTATATTGTGCTCTTGTATTCTATAGTATACCCAACAAAATGTTAAAGCTGGCAGTTTCTATTACATAGAAGCCTTGATTTACTACAATGTCTTCCATATAAACTTCTATATTAGGGATATAATCTGCAAATTGACTGATTTGATTGTTGGCTATTTGACCTCTAGCATGTGCTTGATTCTATTTCAAACCTTTTTTCTTAGTATAACTTTTCAACATAAGGTTTATTCATAAACCAGGGTCGATCAGGGCTTTCACTGAGTCTCCATTTATCTTAACCATCTATACAGGTATGATCTTATTCAACTTTGGTTGGTTATCATATAAAATACTATACACAATCCTAATTCTAGCATGCTGATCATTAATATTATCTCTTTTTTGTTGTGTTAAAGCTTCCATTATCTCTGAGCATGCTTTGAGTAACTACTTAAATAGTTGTTCAAATATAAGCATAACTTCTATACCAGATAGTTTCTTTAGTATGTCAAGCTTATCGAAAAGTTTGGCGAAAGGTACATAAATCATATTTTCATGTGACTTCAGCTTTTTATTTACTGGTCTCAACTTATGAATTTTTCTCTTTTTTACTAATAGTTCTATTGTTTTAATTACATTATTGCTTCTTTTTCTTTTGCCAAATGCCCTTACATCACTAGCCTCCTCTTCATCTAACAATTCTATCTTCAAGTATTTCCTATCATTTTCATCATTCTTTTTACTAAATTCTACAAAGCGTAAATTAGCATTATTAAACCTTATACTCGCATTAGGTTTGTCATTACTTTTAATTTGGTTAGGACAGTTTTTTATGATTTGGCCCTCTTGTTCATACAGGTAACATGTTCGTGGTTTGTTAGTTCTTTGTTGAGTATATTTTTTGTTCAGATTTTTTATATTTTTTGTTATGGTATCCCAGATCATTGCTTCAACTTCACTATGACTCAGCTTGTCATTACATTCAATACGATTGATGCTTAGCACTGCAATTCTGTTCACAATGCTGTTAATGTCAACATCTGATTTGCCTGATTGTAGAGTTTCTTCTAATATAATTATATCCTTTTGTTGGTTAATATCTTTGTTTCTTCTATAATTCTCCATTCTTAATACCTTCTTTTTGGCTTTATCATGTTTTTAGAATAACAATTCTCCACCTTTGTTTGATATAGTTTTTTAGTCCACATATGTACCAATCACACTTCTCATCATTTCTTAGTTAATTCTTTACAGTTTCAGCATAGGCTTCATAACAGTTAATATATTCTCTTACTGACTCTTTATCATCTTGTTTTAGGCACTTCAATCGATTGATCTTTGCTTCAGTTTTATTTTCAGCCTTAATCTTATCAATGATGGTCTTTTTCAGATCTGCCCAAGTTTTCTTGGTTTGTATTAGGTCCCTAGCCCACATTCTTATGCTTTTTAGCATGTGTATATATACTATTAGACATAGGGTATCATTATCATATTTTTTGCTTTTCCATAGCCTTTAAAGCCAAAGAGAAAGTTCTCTATGTTATCAACTTCGGCACCATGATATATAGGTATAGTTTGATCTTTACTTCCTATTGTTCATTATTTCTTTTCTCCACTCTATACTAATGTCTTTATTTCTTTAACACTGATATCTGTACCTTATTAATTTTGTTTCTCATAATAATACCACTATTGTTTATTATGATTTTATTCAACCCTGATTTACTGATTTTGGTTTCACAGCTTTTGGTCTTACATCTTTTGTCTTATGGCTTTTGTCTAACAGCTTTTGTTGCTACAACAACTTCAATAAGAGAAGACTTTTGTCTTGCCCAGGTTCTTCCATGTCATGGGATTAATTAAAGTGTATATAACTTTAAATTCTCACCCAAATGTATTGTTATATTTTATTACACACTCGCTTTTTTACTTCATTTGTTCTAGTTTCTACTCATTGCCCTTCACTTAGCAATAGCTTTTACCTTTCAATCTCTAAGGCACCACCATGTTACAAGTCAGGCTTTTTCAGTTTTTATCTAAAAACAATAAAAGTTGAGATTCGATTGCCAGATCGAACCTCATATTTATTCAATTATTATGTGTGCTTACATCATTGATTTTCTATTAACTACAAATTACTTTACAGAAACTTGTAAAAAATTGATATTAGGTTTATAACAAGCAAATTATGTTTTCAAAATATAGTTAAAATATTTTTTTTAGAAAACTAGTTTATTATAGGTTTATAACTAGTAGTTATAATATTATAATAATGTTTTTCTAAAAAAATATTATTAAAACATTATGATTATTAGTTAATAACTAGTTAAAAACTAGTTATTAACTAGTAATTATAATGTTATAATAATATTTTTTTAAAAACATTATTATAACATTATAATTACTAGTAAATAACTAGTTTTTAACTAGTTATTAACTAATAATCATAATGTTTTAATAATGTTTTTTTTAGAAAAACATTATTATAACATTATAACTACTAGTTATAAATCTATAATAAACTAATTTTCTAAAAAAAATACTTTAACTACATTTTTAAAACATAATTTGCTAATTATAAACCTAATATCAATTTTTTACAAGTTTCTGTATAGTAGTATTACTAATAGACTATTAAACAACAATAGACTCTTATATAGCCTCATTGACAAACAACCTTATTACTAATCATTACGTCGATCGTCTCCATTATCGTTGGCGGTCCCACGGGACCCAAGATCACGTGCATCCAATTAAATACACGTCAATCCTTAAATTCAATTTTTTAAAAATTGTCGCACAAAAAGTACAATTCCAAAGATTTCTTGTCAAATTCCAATTCTTTAGTATAACATCCATTAGTCTACAGATCTTACTTTGTGGTTATAAAAATTTCTTTAAACTTTTCCTTAAAAATCAATATGTATTTTTTAGATGCCGCTAGTGTTGAAACTTAAAATCGTTTCAAATTAATTAATAAATAAAGTAGCTGTGCGACATTGTCGCACCAAAACTAGGAACGTAACAACGATATTTCAAGAACAGAGCGATATTGAAAATTTCACGAAGGGTATGGTATATCGCAAATTAAGTTGTGTGTGTCCGCAAAATCCTGCATTTTATTGGATGATATATGTGGCAAAGTAGGGATGTGAATGCATATCAGGAACTTCACACGTAGCACCTTCACAGGGCATATGTAATCCTCTCTTCTGTACACAGGCAACTCTGTGCATGATTTGATTCACACCTGAATCCATATTTACTGCTTTTCTCATGATCTTTTCACAATTAAGTTTTAAAATCCTTATATTCAAATGTTGTGACAAATGATAGCAAAACATGATTTTCAGACATAAATATTAGTGACCCGATTCAAATTTGCATATCTTTTCACAGGATCTTTGGTATTTTTTATTTTTCTTTATAGGATTTTTTACTGGGTTGATGAAATGATAATCACAGATTAGAGTTTGGAAACCGGTTTTAACATATGAAAAATCAAGAACTCTAAAAGAAGGATTACGTTTCGTAGATATTACTAGGGATGGAAAAATCGAGGATTTTTTCAACCTACTGCGCAGGCCTGCAATATGGTAATTTACTGCTAATGCGGGCCAGAATTGATAAATTCCGAAATATTTCGCCTGCGCAGTGTCCCACCTCTAGATATGGCGTTAATGTCCACAACCTGATTGATGCATAAGTGTTTCTCCAATTATCTCAATAAGTGTAGTGATAAGCTATTAAGGTTGTATTATTGCCATTAACGTATCTTATTTATTCGTATTGATTTTAATCAATGCAGATAAATTAAAATGAATTATTGATTTCTTATTCAATTTCTTTGTTGATCAATCGAAAATTTCAAAGATAAGCTAACACTTAACTCGTTTACATTCAATTTTTTTTTGTATTGATTTAATCGCTATATCAATCGGTTATTCAAAGATAAGCTAACACGTTTAATTTTTTTGTATAAATGACACCGAGGGAAAACAGACTTTGTTCATATAAAATTTATACGATCGAAGTTCGGATATTCCTTAATTTATTCTAATTCACGTTAGCATAGCCTGTAAGTGCAAATTTGAATGATTATTTATTAATTAGTATTGATGTTGTTACGACCAGGGGAGAGACTTTATATTCACGTAGCCAATTTAGCTTAGGGTCGCAAGCATTAAAGAGAAGGAGCCAAGTATTTATTGTATTTATACAAGACACTAAAAGTAACCAAAAACTTCAACTGACTAACTATTTCTTCCAAACCCAAGAAGTACTACCCAGAGTACTATTCCAAAGATCCACTAAAAACCTAACTAAAAGTCTCTAAGACTATTTACAAGAAATATCTATCTTTATATACAAGTAATTAGACTCACATTGACTATCCTGCCTGATGCAAAGTATAAGCTAATACGATAAAAGTCGTAATGATCGACAAAGTGTACTATAATAATCGCTTCGATTATTACTTAATTATGAGCTAGCTATTATAAGTTACACAGCCGAAAGTCTAATTATTACCTGATTACATTATTTTGCGTAACAATGTACTTATGATCTATTCATTTCTTATTTAATTTCTTTTTATTTAAACTGCGGATTAATAATCGGTTGTCCAAATATTATAATAATTTACAGTATAATCGAAGTACTTAAGATATACTAATCATTTCATTTAATTTATATTAAATTAGTCTACTGTACGATAAGATTATTTTATTATTTGAGTATTAAAGATCAACTAAATAATCTATTCATGCTCATAGATATTTACTGTAGAGGTGGAACAATAATGATACAACAGAAAGTTCTTTTTATCAGAGTTAATGTTACTCATACAGTAGCAACACATGAGAGTGACATTAACTTCAACAAAAAAAATCGAATTCGATATTTTTCTTCATTTACCAATATTGTACACTTAGATAATTACTTGACAGTTATATCGTATATCGATACTAAAATTCATTGTAAATAAATGCACATTGATTGATTTGAAAGTGAAAAGTAATCAATTGATCGGTAGACTCGGTTAGAAGCAAATTCATAAATAAGATTTTATCGAGCAATCAAGTTTATAATTAACTGTTTTCTTTTTTAGGTTTCTGTTCCTGGTTTGCTCGCAGCTATCAGTTAATCTGTAAAAACTTTTTATTTTGTTACAAAATGAAAAGTTTCACATTATGATTTTATTTTGTTCAAGTTACATGAATTTTTGGTACGCGACAAATTTGTCACGTGATGTTGAAACTTTCTGAGTGGCGATTTTACCCCGGTCGCAGGGTTGGCAATGGAGTTCAATGAAGCCCAATGGAGTTGTGAATAGAACCAATGGAGCTCTGAATGGAGCCAATGGATACTAATTTTTTGAGCTCCATTCGCACAACCATTGAGCTCCATTGGCTCCATTGCCAACCCTGCCCGGTCGATACCGATTTTTATATACAGTAGATACTGTCTAAATGCATACTGTATAATTGCATATACTCTCTAAGTGCATAAAAAATTTTGGCTATTTATTATTAACACCAAAATGGTTACTATGACTTAAATGCATATACTGTCTATATGCATAAAAAAGTCTCTGACGGATGATATGCAATTAGACAGTATAGACTGTATATCTTAATACCAAGAAAATTTTTAATAGATTCCGAAATATTCCGAAAACTAATAAGCAATTCCGAAAAATTCCCATGCGCATGAATTACTAATTAAAAGCGGAGTTTGAATATTGAAACCTCGACATCATAAACTGGTTTTTTTGTGTAGGTGACACGGAATTACGTTGCTACAAGGCCTTAGATCCCCCATTTTTTGGGCTCATTAGATCGCCTCATTGAGACGGTCATTTTAGTGGAAAATCATCTAAGATGTAAAAAGTAAATATTTTACCATTGTTTAGTAATAGCTTAACGTTAATTACATATATGGACAGATGATAAAAAGATCATAAGAACAACAATTTATTGATAGCAGTTGTTATCATCCCTTAATTAAGAAATTCAATCAATGATGTGAGAAAAAAAAAAATGTAAATGTACCAGAAATATGTACGGTTTTTAATTGAAAATCTACAAGAAACTTGATATAGACATTTACGTAATTAATTTAAACATATTAATTTTATTTTCTAATAGTAGCTTAACGTTAATTACATAAATGGTCAAATGATAAAAAGATCATAAGAACAAAAATTTATTGATAACAGTTGTTATCATCCCTTAATTAAGAAATTCAATCAATGATGTGAGAAAAAAAAAAGTAAATGTACCAGAAATATGTATGGTTTTTAATTGAAACTCTACAAGAAACTTGACATAGACATTTACGTAATTAATTTAAACATATCAACTTTATTTTCAAATACCACTGCATGCTGTATGCTTAGGTGCATGATAATCGAAAGAAATATTGAATGTGAAATATCAATGAATTTGAACTTCAAATTGTTCAGTGAGCAGAAGCGGCATAAATAATAAATTATATAAAAGCAGTCACTTTTTGTTAGCTATCATCAAATAAACGGATTTCGAGCTATTATATTTCCTTTTTGTTGTGGCACATCGGTTACCATTACACATTTTTTTTCTTCTTAATTGTTAACACTTTTTCTTGTAACTCTGAATCGTTAACTGAGGCTAAGCCAGAATTTTCAGGAATTTAATTGGTCATAGGTAATAAATTAAGCATGTACAATATCTTTTACCAAGAGCTCATTTAGCCGACATTATGCCATATCAGGGGGTCGTCTAAAGAGAGCAAATTCACGTGATCACAGCCAATCAAATTATAGAATTTTGATGATCGTCGGCGAAGCTAAAAAATAGAAAAAACGGCAGTCTAAACCTACCTCGGGTAGGTTAAGTAAAAATGCCGGGAAGGCAATTTTGTTTATATATAACAACCTAAAACCTAACCTAGCCTTAATATAAGATGACCCTAACCCTAAAGTTAATTGAGAAAATTATTAAGAAATATGAGTTGCCCCGCTTTAGACGTCCCCCATATCAGGGAATTTTTAAACATGATGGTAATGTATTTCCAGCTACAGGAATACCTGAAATCGATTTAAGGTTAATTGATTTTAACTGATTATATAAATAATAATCGTTTTACAACAATATCATTATTAGTTTACATCGACATTTTATATAGATTTTTTAATCAACATTAATCGATCTCAAACTTCTTTATTATTATTGATTCTTAAATATATCGAATGCTCATCCATTACAATTCTTAACTGCAACCGGGCTAAAAATTTCCTGACTCAAGTGACAGTTTACTTACAACATTCTAAATTATCACATTGTATAATGCTGGCTAAATAAACATAATCGATGAATTGGCAAATTAAACCTAGGTGCTGCTCAAAAATTCGTGACAGGCTGTGATCGATAAAACTTTGATCCGCATTGTGCATAGTTTTGGGCTGAATTAATTTTTTAATTCCAAAAATGGGGAACGTTAAAGACAGGAGCGTTAGGATTACTTTCTTGATGCAGTTAGGTTAGTGGTTTAAGCACATCCATTTTAAAACCAATTATTATAAATATGTAATAACAAACTTTAACATAAGCAAAATTTTACAGTAGATTTCAAGAATTATTAAACGCAACTGGTTTAACTGACCCCCAAATAGAAATTTTCAGGAGTGGGGGCCTGCTCAATTGTAAAATTAGTTCAGGAATATATATATATATATTTACTTAATGGGCAGCCGCGAGTTCATTAGTAACATTTTCATTAGAATAATTTTGGCCTAAATTTTGTTCGTCGTTTTTAGCCAATCAAAGTAGTACGCATTTTTTGAACGGCACCTAGGATACATGAGGCTGCCAATGGAAAAGGACCGCTTTAGATTTTATTAAAATTTCTTTAATCAAGATAACTTAATGACTACTTGATCAAATTTATTAAAGACCTTTTTTATTGGAATTCTATAAATTTGTAAAATTCAAATAAAAAAAAAACTTTTTTTTTAAGTAGTTGTTGAGATATTTTTTATCAAAAAAGTTTTAATAAAGTCTAAAGTGGCCCCTTTTCCTTGGCAGCACACAAATAAAGAGCAATATGGTTATGTAGAGTTTGCTATCTAAACTGATTTTTAATTTAAATTCCAGAGAAATGATGGATCTTTCACAATTCATGCACAAGTTGTTGGAACCGGTACCCCAATATGTTCTAGGTTGTTTTCCGGCGATAGCGATTGTAGGCGCGGCTCCTGTGGAAAAATTTTCGGAAAAGTTTGTATGGATGATACGTTGCCTAGGGTGCCCATTTATTGGGATTTTTTACGCTCTCATTGTAGGGGGCAGTAAAGAATCTCGGTGTTTATTTTGGCTCCCGGCAGATTACTTTACTAAGAAAAAAAATAATAAAAAACTCAAACTCAGACCGTTCGGAATACACACTAAGATACTGGAAGATAAAAAGGTTATAGAAGAATACGTAAATATGTGCACAGCAAAAGCATCAGTTCTTGAAAGATTATCACCGTTAATTTCAATGTACTACATTGTGATTGGCATCTTATCGGGAATATCTAGAGCGACAGGTTCAACTGCTTGTGAGGACTGGCCATATATACCATTATTATTATCTTGGACACTTCCAGCGCTCTGGAGACGAGTATATTCAGGAAATTTGGTAGTCAGAGATCCTAAGGTAGAATTCAGTGAATTCGGAGAATCCAGAAAATTGGAATTCAAAGAATCTGGAGAATCTGAAGAAGACAAAATAATCATGGTGGTCGATCTAAATGATAACGTTAAATCTGGAGAATCTGAAGAAGACAAAATAATTATGGTGGTCGATCCAAATGACAACGTTAAATCTCATAAACTTTTTACCGTTTCAGTAACTACTTTTATATTAATAGTTTTACCTTGGATTACACTATTTATTGCATACTATACACCCCCAATAGGGTATTTTTGTCGAAGCAAATATATGACGATTATCTGTTCTATATGGTCTTTTAATAATTCTTTGGCATATTTGTGCCATCTAAGAGGAGAAAAAGATTTATTCGGCTTTTGTGATGGGGTCATTCATACTTGGTTTGCTTTCTGCGGTTTCGTAATAGCAATTTTACTGCTTGTTCTGGGTTTATTTATCAAGAATCCAGTATGGTGGACAAATCTATTTGGAGAGTCTTGTCATATATCGATATCAAATACGGGATGTGTCCAGTGAGTGAGTGATTTTAAAGGAAAACGAAACTTGGTTACACTTGCAGATCTTTAATTGTTATGTCACAGGCTATCTGCTGTACCAAATGTACCGACTGCTCCGAAAGTACCATATCGATATGTGCAGGGCGTATTATTTTGTATTGTAGTAGGGCAAAGGCAATTAGGAGATATAGGGAATTATGAGAATGAATAATCCTTAGGCGACATCCGTAATTTACGTTAACCGGTACTGTATTGTGTAAAATAGGAACTTTGAAGGTAATGCCATATGGCATTATTTTGGTATTATTTTTAAAATCCGCATAACAATACTGGTTTAATGTAAATTACGAATGCCGCCTTAAAACATAAGGTGAAGTAGGGTATTCTGGCGCGGGAGGTAATGTGGCGCACTGGAGTCTTTTTAAAATATCTCGAGATACACTGAACAAAATCGAAAAATTTTATTACCATTCGATTCGTCTTACTGAGACGAATCAAATAATATAAAAATTTTTTGGATTCTAATTGCTAAAACACAAGATATAAGTAAAAGTCGATATTTCTTATGACAATATTAAGTTTCTTTTAATTTTTCCTCATTTGGGTAATGTCTAGAGGACGGATGCAGTAATACAATACAAAACATATAGTGATACATAGTGCGCCATAATACCCCCAAATGTAAAAAAACATAACATTTTTTGAGTAGATTTTGAAAGCTCATATTTCAACCTTTTTTTTTTTATAATTAGTTAGTAAATCGATAGTTATTTTATTTCACTAAATTTTAAAAATTAATATTAATTTGTAAAAATTTAATTGACAACGCAGCTTAGGTGCGCCAGAATACCCTACTTTACCTTAAGTATTATAAGGGATATGGGTCATATATTTTATTAGTAAATGGTTATCATGTACATAGGAGTACTTTTATAACTTGTGATGGTGCAATTTTTTCAACATGCATGGAAAATACGTATTATGGACAATGTCAAAATTAGTGTCATAAGACTTTATTATAATTTGGCAAAGTATAAATTTTTTACTGATCATTATTAAAAAATTTTTTGGAAACAGTAAAATGATAATACAGTAGTACATAATTATATAATGTCGCGGCTGAAGCTGAAAACGGCTAAATCTGAAAATTTTACAGTAAATACTTTAATATGAAATTTCCAAAATTTTTGGGGTGCATTTTTTAGCTTTTTTTTAATAGTTAACATAGGATTAAGGATTAGTTTTGATAACAAAAATATATAAATAGACTTCGTAGGGCTTATATTTTTAAATTGATGTCTTAATTTCCAGTTTCAGTCGTTTCCAGCTTCAGCCGCGACATGTAAAGTAGTTGCAAGTTAGAAGTAAAGAAATAGAAAAAAAAACTAATAAGGTGTTTGAGGATCTATTGTAAAAAAAAATAAGAACCGATAAAAGTGTATTAAGAACACATTTGCAGACATACTTTATTAAACTTGCATTAAATTTTATGTACATGGTTTTTAATCAGTATTGGTATAAAAACTCTCATATATCAATTTTTAATTTACATTCATTTGAGTGACGTTTCAACACAATTTTATGCAGAAAATTTGCCTTTATTCCTCAACACTACTATGATATATATTTTCTGACATATATTGTTTTTTCTTTATTGTGAACATAAAATATTAGTTTGACAACACCTATAGCCATTATACTGTTCTCATGGGAACAGTATTTGTGGGACACGTTAATAACAAGTACTTTATTGATGGGCATTATTTTGAAAATTGCGCCCCCTAAAAATAGCATATGCGGATTCAATGCGCGTCCCGAAATAACGCGCATCCACTATTATGTATTTTGAAAAAAACCAGGTTCAAAAATGGGGATGATAAAGAGTTCGTTTGGTCCGACCCAGCTCCGGTTCTTAATAAGTCAGGATCTAACTTAGATTTAACATACGATATAGTCATGGTTGACAAATGGACCAATTTGACCAATTTTTTAGCTATTATTATAAAATTTTAATAAAAACTAATATTATCTAGATTTAAATTTAGAGACTTATTAATGCCACCCCCTACATAGCTCTAATTGGCCTTTAAACCTACTGGAAACTCTATAAACAATGCTTACCCTAACTGCTAACTAATTAATCACATGAATTCACACTATTTCTAAATACTATCTGTAGAATTATCAGAATTTTAGGCCGGTTAGGGTTATATAGGAGTGGCATTAAAAGTTCTCTAAATTTATTATACAAACTATAAAATAAAAATTGATTTAAATAAAACTTAACAGCTAAAAAATTTTTAATAATAGTTAAAAAATTGGTCAAATTGGTCAAATTGGTCCATTTACCAACTCTGGATATAGATGGTTTTGAAAGCGAAATGCCAAAAGTATTCACGATTCACTTTTATTAAATTTTATCTGGACTAGTCTTGGACAGGCCTAAAAAGTTCGGTCCCATACCCAATCTGAACTAGTCTTTTGTGGACTATTTAACATCCCCATTCAGAAAATCAGTCTATATATTCGAAATAACGCCCATAGGCGTACCTGAAATAGCACACAGATGCCCACTATTTCGATATTTACGGTAAATAAAGTCAATAAAAGACATATAGACCTACTTGTAATGACATCTGATGCATTTATCCTTATCTTGAACTTTAAATATAGATCTTAATAAAATTTTGCATTCTTTTTTGCTTCAATTTCTAAAGTAGTAATGATATCTGAATTAGAATGCAATATAGTAAATTCATATAGAGTAGTTCAAAACTTGCCGTCAGATTGGTATATTATTAGATATGGAAGAAGATATAAATGGATGCCATGAAAGAAGGGTCCAGAAATCTTATCTATACTAATATTTTGACAATATATCACGAAATGCTTGTCCATTTTTCATATTTGTATTGACAGAGCTTAATCACGATGAAAATTTGTCATATTAATAAGAAGTTTCGTATCGGTTGAAATTCGCATATACGCATCAAAATTATCGAGATTGCAGATGACATGTTTGACACTGCTCATATATAACGAAATACTGGGTAAATATAGTAAGCAGTATGATGCTAAACATAAAAAAATGCATTGTACAATATACAAGTTTGTGGATTTCAATCAAGGCTTAGAATTTTCCGTGTCTTTGCCATACAGGCTAGACGTTAGAAATTATTTCAAAGTTGTCTCTTTGCATCATTCGTATATGCTATTGACACAATTCTGGTAATGCAAATCCACACAAAACCTTATAAGTTTTAATGGAAATTTCCTTTCTGCGGTTCACAATGAATATGTCGTGAGTCAGATTCGAAGAGGCGTAGATTTAAAATTGAGTTGGGTCAGAATGAGATTCGATTCTGAGATGCGTCAAACCAAGATTATTATTGTGTATTTCGTGCCGAGTTAAACTATAAAAAATATTTATCCACTATACGCAAATTTTTCATGCCAAAATATGGCATGAAAAAAAGAAAAGCACTAATTAATCAAAAATTATAAGAATTAAGTTCTTTTTTATCCCATTAATATTACACCACGTATTTCATTACTGTACTTTGCTTTATAGATTAAATACTTGGAATTAGTTAATATTTTAAAAGTCAACGAAGCAACGCTAAAACAGAATGTTAGCATGCTTGTATATCAACAAATAAAGTATCATTGTAAAATTGGTCGTTGAGGTGGAAATAGTGATGTAGTAGAATCATCTCAATGATTGTTGTATCTTTCCGTGACTATAGTAGGTAATATAGTAAGTTACGGATTTAATGCCAATGCCCTAACTTGCTATAATACTTACTATATATAATTACGGCAACGAATTATATGGATTAATTAAATTTATTACTGCAATTAGAGTAGAAACTATACGATATAAGTTACAATAACTTCAATACAAGCCAAAATATTTCGATCACATGAGCGATGCACAAGGACTTTGGTTTCGCCTTTTAAATCTAAAACTTACCCTAAAAAATCCGAAAAATTTAGTCCGTCATGTTATAAATTTAAGAGTCTTGAGGTTTTGTTTTTCTTAGCATCATTTATAGCAATCATTAATTTAATTTAACGCAAACCTTCTATTTTGACCTTACGCATCTTCAATTCAAATTCCAATCCGCGCAACTCAGCTTTAAATCCACACTCATGCTTATTTCACGCACAATACAAAATATACGTAAAATATTAAATCGAAATATAACAAGTCAAATAAATTTGAAAATATCTAGAAAACAAATATAAAACAACTGATATCTTAATGGTGTTAAAATTAATTAAATGCAGTAGATTACACTCATAAAAATACATATTCAAATACTAATACACAATCCAATTTAAAACTTATTCAAATATCATTACTCGAGCATTTCACTAATGAGTTTGCGCAACTCTTTGAAACTAAACACGATTCTGTCATAATTTAAGATCAAAATTTCAAGTTACATTCTTTAATTTTATATCAACGCTTATCAACCTTTCTTCAAGAACTGTAAACTAGGGATGGCAAATGTTTTAAAACACGATCTTAAAAATCTCGATTGTTTGATTTTTAATTGATTAAAAATGTTTTAA